TTGTTTTAACGTTCATATCCACGTCTCTGCAAAGCAAAGCACTGCAGTGTGCTTCCCCAGAAGGTCTCATTAAATAACAGAGAAGCTTTCTTAAGCCTCCAGTCAAAAAAGCTTAAATGTTTAGGATGAGCCAGAAAAAATCCTGATGGCCTTCAAGTTTATTTGAAAGACGGATTACAGAATATTATGTAAGGCACAAATCTCAGAACTATTCCCCATTGTATTTACAAATATTATCAAATTTTACAAGATCATGAATTTTCATAAAAAGTGACATTTTGAAAAAGCTTCGCTTGCTTTAATCCTCCTCTTTTCTTTTGATAGGATTAAACATTGAAATGGCAGACTGTTAAATAAGCAGACTGAAATGCCAACTGTGAGGCATTTAACTCCATGTATTTACAAATTAACGTTTCACAGTTGCTTCAAAATTTGACATTATTGTTTAGTATCTTCAGGCAACTCATTTCAGAAGGTGCTGGATTTGATCTACATTATTTCTCATTTTACATTCGTATGTCACTCTACTGGAACACCTGTAAGGTTCCCTTAATCCCTGACAAAGGAAATTTGGTTTTATGAAAGGCTGAGAAATATCCCTTTGTTTTTATCAGAATGTTTTTATTAAAAAAGCCTGCCTATAGCAATTTCAAAGTCACCATTAAATTTACCTGTAAAAATCCATAGCTGTCAAAATAACCCCCCCAAAACAGAGAAGATCATAGCCTATATGTGTATACACACACACAGATTTGGTGTAATACTGAGAGGTAGATGTCAGTGGTCTTCCCCTCCAACTATTCCAGTATCAGCCTCTGAATATTCAGAGTGAATGAGAGAAAAGTGCAAGTGGAATTCCTAAAGTGTAGTGGGACACATCTGAATTCTTCAATTCTGTATATTATGCTGCTTCAGAGGTTATTTGTGTGCTTCTGAGAACTGCTGCAAAAGCACAGTCCTATGGGCTATCAGATGTAGCATTTTAGACAGAAATATCTAATTTGCAGAATGTGAAATGAAGTTCCTGCATTGCCCATGTTTGCATTTACAGAAGAGATTTCCAAAACAAGCAAAGCCCAAGTAACAACAACAAAAAGAGCCCTCAAAACAGATTCCCCAAAGCCCTTATTGCCTTTAAGGATATGGAAGTGCTGCCATTCCTACAGCGTTACCTCAAGGAGCAACATCATTGAAAACAGAATTTAAAGGTTTTCCCTCAAATTTTCTCAGAGTATATGACGTGATTATTTCAAAATCAGAAGTAATTACCTTGTGCTCCTGAATTTCTTGTGGAAAAAAAAAAGGCAGAAAAAGATAGACAAGAGAAATCACAGAGCATTTTGTTTCATAACTGAGAACCTTTCTCCCATTACTCTACATTCTTACATCCAATGAAGAGCACAAATTTTTCATATATGCACACACTGCCCAGTATTTAGATAAAGATATACCTAAATTTTTTAGCTATGAAATACCTGTCTACTAATCCAATGTTGCTAACTGCTGTCTAATTACTACATCCTATGCATAAATAAATTTTACATAGCAATGCAGTGATTAACGTTAATTCCAGCAGCACACACTACTAATTAAGGTATTTACGAATGTTTACTTATGTCACATGGGAATGTACCAAATCATCTCTCTAGAAACACCTTTGTATTAGGACACTTCAGAAATAGTCTAGACGTGCTCAATAACACAGCACCTTTTTTCAAAAAACAATTTTGACATCTACTAATATTCCATAAATAATGGGATCAGATTAAAGTCTCACCAAATTCATTATGAAGTATTAAGCCTGTCTAATCTTCTATCACTATTACTAACCTAGTAAAAAAATAAAAATGCTAATAAGTGCAGAAAGTTATGAGAATTTTCTTCAGGAACATTGTTGAGTGCAATCACTCAGGTGACAAATTCTGAATGATGAAGATGATGAATGGTGCCTGGATGACACCATTACAAATTACAGACACTTTTCAACCAGAACCTATTTAACTATTTCTCACTTCAACTTAGTCTATTATTTCTCCTCCATAGCTTCTGAACCTATTATTCATTCCAGCAACTTCATCTCAAATACTTATTGTACACAAGGGTAATAAAAGAAGGATTTAATATTAGCAAGATATTCATATAGTTGCAATTACTCAGGAAAATAAGCAAGTTCCAATCTTAAGTACGTTAGCAACATTTCTCTTTTAACTGCGGGGCTTGGCAAATTCTCTTGCCTCCCAGCAAGATCTCCTGATATTTTGTGACTTCACTTGCATATTTAAAGTCATTTCCTAAGGAAAAGAGACTTCTGTGATTTCCCTATATCTGGTGAACTGAAGCTGAAAAGCAACACGGTTTTGCAAGGTGCTAACTTACAGGTGCTGTATTCAACCGCATCACAACTTTCAAATACAGGACCTTAAAGTTCAGTCACCTGAAGCTCACGGCAGCTGAACCCAGTGAGTTCCTCACACTGGCAGCAGAGCTAGAGGGTGAGCAACGCAGATCAAGAGCCTGTGCTCTCTGGCAGGCAGCGACTGAGCAATGAAGAACTGGAACACAGATACTTAAACTTCTGCACATTGCAAGCCAAAAGCCAAAATTCTGAAAACCTGCCATTTCATTTTAGGTGCTCAAACAGAAGATGAGCTGAATCTCAGCCTGAGTACTTTTTTTATTTTCTTTTTTTAATATATAATTTTAAACAGGACTCGTGCCTTTCTGCCTGCCATCAGTTTAGCCCTACTGCCATCTGCTGTCAGGAACACACAGTGCCACACTGTCTGCCAGCAAAAGAGCAACAGGACACATCCTAATATTGCTACTCAAGATAACCTATAAATTAGCACAAATCAGTTCATCCAGAGTACTATGTTAAATCAGCGCACTGCCACCGTAACTACCAGAGCACCAACCCTGAGAGTGTGTTCACAGTTTCACACACTGACTGTCCCCACAAAGGGGTCATTCAGATAAATAGATTAGTATCAGAACTGTGTGCAAACCCTGAAATGGTTTTCTAAACACTGACAGCATTGCCCGTTTCTTGAAATTTTTGAAATATTTCTGTTAGGAATGGGTTAAAACTATGAACTGGCCAGAATTAGGGCTGAATTGCTCCTGTATCATCTTTATGCAATCATACAAACAGAATTAAATCTTTAGAGGTAGAATATAGCAAACCAGAAGTTAAACAAAATTATCAGCTCCATAAAACAGATTAAACAAAAATATCTGCAAACAAATTACCCCAAACCTCTACCTTGCCTACTGACTCAATGAAATCTTGAAACTTCTAGGGTTAACTAAACTCAGTAAATCCTCTCAGGACCGCTGCAACCCATTATGCTTCCTAACACCTCTGGCAGTGCGATGCTTTGCAGCTGACACTAGTTTAAGCTGCCACCATCCCTCTCTTCTTTCCCTACACACCTTTCCTCCTCTTTTGGCTAGCACTGCAGCTGCAGCTATCACACAAAGAGTCAGCTCAGGGAGCCGATGTGCCCAGCTCAACCAAACAGCCCTGACTGGAGAAGGCCAAGACAGACAACTCCAGAAAACACAGTCCTGAGCCACCACTACAACGTTCGGCTGCTGACCCAGGCTCCAAGAAAGCTCTTGGAAGTTTCTCTGCCTGCACACCAGCTCCTGACTCCCTTCTCGTGCCTTCCCGCCTGTCTCCCCATGCTGTGCTCAGAAAGCTAATTGCAACCGAGTGCTTGAGAGGGCTGAGGAAGCAAGAGTGCATCCTTTCCATCCGTCAAGTTTTTCACTCGACTGAGAATACAGCAGCTGCAACAACAAGAGGCAGCTGTCTTTGCTGCTCAGACACACATCCGTTTAGGCAAGACACAGTACATGGAAAATACTTCCTGTGTAATATACCCAAAACAGTATTTTTGTCTACTACACTCTATACTCAAAACAAATACCGTAGCAGTTGTCACCAGGAGTTTTTAAAACACCACAGAATGGAATTTAACTGCAGAAACTGAAGGAGGTGCTGAATGGCTTCTGGCCACTCCATCCAGACAACGCTGCCGGTCTCCAGAACTCCAGTCTGATGCAGCAAAGGCACAGGGCTTAAGCTAGTTGCACTCAGACAGCAGAGGGTAAAATGCAGGACATTGATTTTCGTTGTGGTGATTTCTTTGTATGAAGCAGTTGTTAAGATAAAGTCTTTTTAAAGCTTCTCTTGTTTTCAATAGGCACAGTACTTACTGCTCAGCATAAGCCCAATTCCATTTGATGACTACCACAATATCACTAATGTGAAATTTAAAGGCTCTTTCATATATTGCACCTCTTGTTTGACAGGGAAAAAAAGGCAACTCATCCTCCAAGGAAAAAAAAGGAGAAATGCAATTTGTAGGCTCAGTGCTGCTGAACTCACATTATCAAGTACGATAATAAAAGATTAACATACAATACCACTAATACTGCCACTTTCTATATTTGCAGACACTTGTAAAAGTATTTTTCTGCAGCAGACCTGGGAGGATTCATATGCTCAAAAGAGACCTACAGCAATTCCCTCTGTGTTTTGTCAAAAATACAGACAAAAGGAGGAAATCAGTCTAACCTAACCCTCTGATCACATACATCTTCAATGCCTGTGTCAGAAGGGAATAGGCTCAGTGAAAGACAGATAAATCTCCTTCACTGTTTTCATTGTTTCATTCACTGTTTCTCATTGCCTCACTCAAATGTAACAGAACTACAAAATACCTATTTTACACTGATTGTTTTAATGCATTGGTACAGCTGATAATCAATATGCTCCAATCAGGTACATTTTCAAGCACAGCTGTGACAACTGAACATGATCCATCCATGCTGATCTGACAATGAATTAAAAAATAGTAACTGGTCCATCATATTTTTAGGGTTTTCCTCCTGCTAAATCACCCATTTTGTTGTTCAAAAGATACATTCTTTCTAGACAATGTGCTAAGAACATAAAACATACTGCAATATGTAAAGCTTAAACCTGTTTTTACCGTTTTAATGGAACTCCTTGATTTTTCTTCCCAAACATTACTGCTCAGCTCCATTGTGCAATGAACATTTGTTTCTCTTTCATAGGATCCAAATATAAACAACCTGAAACAGAAAAGCATACAGTAAGAATTGTAATACTAGTATGCATCCTAAGTATCATATTAAACTCCGCGTTCTTCCTTTGTACACCCCATTACTATTTTCAATGTGTACAGACACAGAAGTGCATACCTAAGTGATTCCAAAAGCACAGCCTTTCACAAAATGCAAGGCACTGCCACCCTCTAGTGGAAGTATTTTACACGTATCTAAAATTGTTTAAAAATGTTAGCTAGGGCTTTAGGGGCAGGGTTTTAGAGGGAGGAAGGGGTGTTTGTTGTTTGTTTTTTTTGTTTGTTTGTTTTTAAAGTGTTCAATTGGCAGATTACTATTTTTATATAAAATAATAGCTTAAAAAATAAAGCAGTTACAGATACAAGAGTCTTTCGCTCTAGTCCTACACTTCACAACATACAACAGCTTTCCTTGGTTGGAGAGAGAGTGTTACTGTAGTAGCAAAGTCACAGATACACAGTCAGCAGTAAACTATTTCCTAACAAACAGAAGTGGTTCTTCAGGCATCTTATTCTATTCCAGAAGGCTACAAAGCTTTCCAGTTAGGTAACAGTGCTATAAGAGGGGGTGTGTGGGAAGCAATGAAGTTGTACACAGTTTCTCTCTCAGTACTTAGAAGCAAATAAATATTTGGGAATAAAAACCTCCGATAAATTGTGCTCTTCCAAGAGAGCCATTAGAAACGATCCTTGTCAAATGCATATAGAAAACTTCAAAATAAAGAAGTCTAAGCTTTCATCCAAACTAGCTTATTTATGGCTGTGTTTTATTACACAACTCTTCAGATGGAGATAAAAACTGTAATCAAATCACAGCAATATTCTGTTCATTTTGATGTTTTTAATGAATGTTTCTCGGTTAAGTATTTATGATTAAAAAGCGTGTAGATTTCTAGATATGGAGATATCTAAATTATTATATATTAAATATACTTTGAAAATTAAGTAAAAACAATTGAAAGCAACTTTTTTAAGCAACTGGAATTGGTAAAATTACCCCAATCCCAAGGAAACACACCTCATTCTACAACAGCTTTCTAGCCTGCGTTAAAGCACAGGGAATGGAAGAAGTATTCCTTTTGTATATATCTCTACAAATAATTCAACTGCGAAGATCTTTACAGTTACTCAGTTCTACATCTACCCCTGGGTTGGTGCCCAGCATTTTGCTGTGTTTGCTGTTCCAGGTGCCAGCCTTGTGGCTGCATGCTGTGCTGCCAGCCTCAGGTGTCCAGGCTGCGTGCTGCCCCATCCCTTCTACTGAAACCCTGCAAAGAGCAGCTGTCAGCGGCACTTCCAGCTTGACCTTCAGCACTCGTTTGTCTAGACGCTATTGATTTGATTACAGTAAGCAGAAATCCAGCCTCAGAACCAAGCGATCAGGTATTTTGTCTGGGCAAGACTAAGTTCCTTCAGGGTTACCTAAACTGACCAGCTTATACCCTCTTTGCTCATTTTTAAACTATCCTCAGCAACCTTCTGTGGCTTTCCTATTCTGCTTTTTGTAGTTGCTTTTGAATAATGCACTTTTTCTTCTGTGTCAACTGCAACTCATCGCCACCAGCTAGTTCAGTAAAGTTTTTCCACAGTTGGTCATTGCTTGCACACATTGCATTTCATCCAACAGGACTGCACAAGTTTCCTTTCCAGTTTTGCAAAGGAGGGAAGCACGGTGGGTCAGGAGGACTAGGGGGGAAACAATAACGAAGCTGATCAAAGATCCAGTTGGTTAATGCAGTTCAAAAGATAAAGACAGACAGACAAAACTCTCAACAGTGTATCTTCCAGGAGTCCTTGCCTGTTTCTAAACCCCTAATTCCTCTACAATATCAGCGGAGCAGCTATTTATCTGTCTTGTACTGGTGACAAGTAACATACAAGAACAAGGACAGGAGGTACATCACAACTGGGGAAAAAAAAAAAAGTGATTTTCAACTACAACCATAACGCAAAAGGTGCATAGGAAACAATGAGATTTCATGTTATATTACGCTACCCACACCCTAATTGAAGAACCGTATTGCAGGACAGCAAAAATGCACGCTTAAAGAGCAGTCCTGGTCCATGGACACTTTGTGCTGGAGTTTAGAATACAATTTCCAGTTTCAGGAAGACAAAGGGGAAATTTTCGCTTCTATGCCACTAAGGAAGTTTTTGTTTGAATAACATCTCTGATAGCACGCAAACAGAAGAGCTGGATTCTCCAGTGCAGCTGCAGATAAAGACTGATTACAATCGCATCACAGCACATCCCAAACAACTGCATATCGAAATGCAGGTTACTGTGTACTCCACAGATGTAACATTTATAAGCCAGTAAAAAAACAGTGAATGAAAGACACCCTGAAACAAAGTTTATAGCCCAAGCAAAGATTAAATCGGTAAGAAAAAATGATTAAGTTACTGCCTGAGTAATTAAAATAGGTATATAAGAAGGATGATTTCTACTGCTTCCCTACCTCCAGACGGGATACCCTCGGGTAAGCACAAGGCAAAGCTGAGCGATTTAGCAGATCAGCCGGAACAGCAGCGGCTTGGGGCTGTCCCGGCACCGTACAGACCCCAAATGTTATAGGAGGCCCCCTGACAGAGGGCAGGCAGCAGAACAGGGCCGAGGCGGGGGCAGTGTCAGCTCTTAGGGCTGATTGAAGCCCAAGACTTTGTCCTGTCTCTACAGTCCCCAGGAGAGGATGACTAGGTGGGCTATCAAGCTGGCTGCTTTTTGTGGGGTGATACAAAAGGGTTGATATGCAAATCCAACAAGAAGTCGATATGTGCAAAGTACACCCCGATCTATGGTAACATCTTATTTATTACCAGGTACATAAAAGCAAGCTCAATGTATTTCCTTTACAACTTTTTTTTTTTTTTTTTAACTTTTTTAATTTCAACTGTGACCCTTTTATTTGCAAACAGTTTTGGAGTCAAAATAAGCAGAATATTTCCTGAATTTTAAGAATGCCAAAAGCAGATTCAACATCCACACACTGCTGCATGAAGTCCACTCAAGGGCAAAAGGGAAAAAAAATAAACATAAAACTCCAAACCTAACACATCGGTCTCGGGTACACACTGCAGTGTTTTACAAAATGACCGTCTTCGGAAAAGTCTCCTTGTCCACAAAGGTTATTAAAACAAACGTTCATTTTAAAAGCCCACATTGTGGCACAGTTTTAGAAGAATATTCTGCTTAATATAGTAAGAGTTGACAGGATTTAAGACTTTCTTCGCAGAGTACCTTTAAAAAGTCATATGGGGAGATTTAACAGCGTGTTGCTTTGTTCTTTTCTCTCCTTAAAAAAAATTAAGGCAAGGATGCAATTGTTAGTGTAACTTAAGTTTTTCCTTTTCTTTTGTAGAAGAAATAAACTGTCACATTGTACAATGTTTTCACCTACAGATACATTTTTGCAATGAAAGTATTCTGTGAAGGTGTTACAATCATAAAAACATGCTTTCAATAGGTCAGACAAAAATTGTAAAATGTTATCTACACCAGTGAAGTTTCCATTCTTTCAATAATTTCATGTAAAAAATACACAAAAATTTTCTTTCAAAGACGTAACAACGAAACTTGGGTGGTGATTAGAAAAAGTGCAAGAAGTATGCATTTGGATATGTGAAGAACAAAATGAAATTAAGTTAGACATTTCTAACATACGAAGAGTTTGCAAGATGCTTCATCACTACAATTTCTCCGCTGTCGTTCAAGACTTAATTGCTTAGAACAGAAAACAGGATCTGAACGCTACTACTCCACACAAGGACCAAAGCAAAGCTTAAACCACTCAGCTCTGCCATAGCTACCATATTGAGACAGAATGTAAAATCCTCAGGCATTGAGCAAAACTGAAAACTATACAGAAATCAAGGTGATTTTCACTTCTGGAATTGGAAAGATTGCCAAGGAAGACAACTTCAGGTGCCCCCCTCCAGATGACGGTTCTCATTAGGGGATGCCGACCATTCTGCTGTGAATTCACTCACACAAACTGCCTGTGATGGAAGAGGCTCTTGAGGTTCAGTGACCTCAAAGCACCTTTGGGTGAAGAACTAAGAAGTCTGGGGAAATGAAGCAATGCTCAGTCAGTACCAGGTCACAGCACTCCCTGGAAGGCTCCGGGCGAAGTCCCAGCACGCCAGCAGGGACTGCAACAGGTCTGCAGAGGTCCCAGCAGCAGATGTTGGTGAAAAACTCTCCGCATGTCAGCATATGGAGTGGTATTGCAAAAAGAAACCTTGCCAACAGCCCCGGACAGCCTTCACACGCAGTAGTAATGAAAAGGGAAATTGTGACATTGCTACTTTTGTGCATATTGTGTATTTTTTTCTCTACTTCCAAAGTCTTCTCCGTGCCTTTCAGCTTCTACCTCACAAATGTCTTCAGGTGCAAAGCAAGCAAGAATATTCATTTAGAGGGGTATTTTGGAGACAGCAGCTGTGGTTAAGTTCAAAAAAAGGATGGAACAACTTGGAAGATCTGAGGAATTACTGTAGGACCAAAGTCAGCCATGTAAATTGAGATGTGTCTGTTCATACAGCTTTCAAGAGTGCATCTAGAAATTCCACACTGCATAAAATAGATTAAATCAGACCTGAAGCTCAGAAGGCCTGACAAGCCAGCAACTGCATCCTCTCTCTGCCATCTGATAAGCATCTGTGACAGCTGAAAATACTGAGAGGTCAGCTGATGATGTCAAACTGAGCAATCTGGCTTCTAGAAGGTAACGGAAAGAAGCAAAACAGTGCTGTTACGTTGGCAACGTTGCACACAGTATGTCAGATGCAGGAAAGACACAGTATTTTAAAGTGACTTTCCAAACCAAAAACAACTGCATGTAACTTAAAGAGTTATTTTGGGCCCTATTATAATAAAAGCAAACACACTATTGAATTGAAATTGGAGACTGTCTACAGAGAGATCTTGAGCTCTTTTATTAAGAGGGGATGAAGAATAAATGCTCTTAACAACCAAGGAATGCACCAACATTATTGGTGTGTTCATAGGAGCCTGATCACAACGCTAGGAAAAAAGGTAAGCAGCAATTTTACTGCCCCCCCAAATTAAAAAAAATAAAATAAAAATCACTCATGACCAACACAATCAAGAAAGACCAAACAAGAAGCATAAGCAGAAGATCATCATCTAGAAATAAGCTTGTTGCAAATGGTGAATAGCACTGATAAAAGACATCATCACAGCAAATAAAGTTCCAACATGGTTGTACAAGGCTACAAGAAAAAAAAGCAAAAAAAAAAGCAAAAAGGAGCTTACTTGGCAATACAACTAATGAAAAAGCTAGTTAAAAAAAAAAAAAACACATTGTAAACCAGAGGTTTCGTTCATGAAGAGCAGAATGGCACAAGGCTAGATCAAAGCCTAAGCACCATGAAGATAAGATCTACCATAAACCAAGAACTAAAAGGTCTGACAAAACCAAACAAAAACCACAAAAACAAACCATGTCTGCATACCTTTGTCCAGTTTTAAAGAGAATAATTTTCTCTTCAATAAATAAGGAGGTACATTTTCTTTCTTCCCATTATTTTGTTCAAAACAAAGACAAATAATGCCTCATAAAACTTATTTGGATCGATCTAAGTAAAACAGTGAAACAATTACTTGCCTGTGCTTGCAACACAATACAATAGGATAATTACAACATTTATATTGTCCTGAAAAAGATTCATAATTTGGAGGGCCAAACAAATAAAAACAAAAACAAGAGGCACATTAGCTTTTAAACAGATAAAATCCAAAATAAAAGGAAATCCCTGTTCATACACACACACTGTAGAATTGCCTCAAACTTGCTACAGCTTTCATGTGTTCATTTCTACTTTAAGAATATATTTCTTGATTAAAGCTCCATCACAACAAAGATGCCATTTCTTGAATCAGCACAAGCTTACAGCTATAATTACTACGAATTAAGGAACATGTGTATACTTGCTTAATAAAGAATGAGCAAAAGACCACAAACGGTACCTTGTACATTCAATTAACGTGACTTGTAGTCGACCTTCTATCAGCAGAAAATCCTGTATACAGAGGTCCCGATCTTCATATTCATCAGGTGGTGATACTTGAAATGGAAAAAATGGCTTGAACCTGAAAAAAATACAGAAGAGAATTCAAATTACACAAATTGGAGTACCACACCTTAAAAATAATACGAGATTAGAAAGAATCTTTACTGCTCCAAGAGAGAAAAACTGCCATTTCCGCACATTTATTGCTCAAAAGGAACAAGCAGAAGTTAATAAAGTTAATAACACTTTCTGAACGGAGAAGATTGGAGAATCTTATTACAAGACCTTTTTGTAGGAAATACTTAAACAGGTTTAAGGTGAAGAAATACTAAGACCCTAAAACCTAAATTGTCACAACACTGCTGTCCTTACAAGGACTGATACAACCTAAAAACCTGTACACTTTAGTTGCCTTAGTTTAGTTTAGTCTCTTATTTTGAAAAAAAAAAAAAAAATTGCCTTTTTTTTTTTTCCTTTATCTTCTGGAATTAAAATTAAAATACAGATACTAAGTAGTTTGCCTTGAATTTTTATTTCTCCCATCGCTGCATGTGGCTCGGGGAAAGCAGTTCATGTTCAAAACACCGAGTGTTTTACACCCGTTATCTCACCACACAACGAGCTCTTTCTGATAAGAATACACTGACTCATAAATCCAGCTTTCAGTTCTGAACGGCCCCGTTTCAGGGCTGGACACGGCCGCGATGCAGGGGGAGCAGGAGGGGGAGAGGCCGCACAGCTGCAGCCCCAGCCCCTCTCACGCACACGCTGCCCCTGCGATTCCAGCAGCAAGGGCCCCGACCTTGGAAATGGGAATATGTTATGGGAACAGCACTGCTATTTACATGAAGTGTTCGAGAAAGCACTCGTAGGGGCTCTCTGCTTTCCATTTTTACTCATTGCTTGTTTCCTACCACTTTCCAGTGCCCGGTTTTCCCTTGTCACCGCCGGCCTTCCATCAGCTCTTGCTGTTCGGAAGACGAACAAACAGCAGAAGATGAGCACCACTGCCTGCAGGACGTCTCTGCCATTTCATAACAAAGAAGTCTTTCATAAAAACTGTTTGCTTAACCATCAGAAGCATCTGCTTGTCACATTCGGAGATCACAATATGTTCAGGAAACAGTCACATGGATCGGGATTGAGGAGTTTCAGAAACCCAAATAAATAATGGAGCGCCCTTTAACTGTCGACACACTCTTCAGGAGGGAGCCCGACGCTCTGCTTCCAGGGACTTCATTTTTGTGCTAGCATCAGCCTCGGACAAAGCCATGCAAAAGACGCTTCTTTTATTCTCCTTGTGAATAAGCACATCTTAACTCTCCGGTTATTTTACTGAAACCCAATTCCACTTCTAACTTTAATTTTGTTCCAAGTTTCTCCCTCCCTCATTAACTCCTCCAGAAAAAAAAGACTGGAGGAAGTCGGACAAGTCAAAACACTCAGCTTTAAATATTATATACAATTATTTTGTGTATTAAAAATATGAAGTAATTAAATCACACAGGCCACAGTTCAGACTTATGGTACGCTCATACCATAAGCCACCAACCCCAAATACCCCTCATGCGCAGACACCATCTAGTTTGATATGTTACTTATGATCTTTAATAATTCAGGAACTGCAAAGAAAGGAATAGTAACAAATACAAGACGGGGGGGAAATAGCAGCACTGCTATTTTCACTCTACAAACTGGAAAGAAGCCCTGCTGCTTTGGGACCCTAACACCCCTGCCCTGAGCTGGGAACAAACCTGCTGCAGAGCTCTCACGTGCAGCACAAGCGGCAGCACTCCCTCCCTCTGCTAGGGCTGGTTTTTCCCCTCCAACAGAGCTTCTGCTCTGTTCAGCAAAAAAGCATGAGTTAGGCAATTACACTGCAAAATAACGCAAGTTTTGGGTTAGTAATTACTTGTAGGTTTTCTAATTTTCAGCACAGTAAGAATTTAATTTCCATGAGCAGAGGCAAGAATGCAACAAACAAACAAACAAAAACCCACCCAACTTTCCAATTAGTAGCAGCAGCTATCTGTACACCGCCTCCAGAATATCTTCCATGGCCAGTTTGCCTTGGGAACCTCCAACCAGTGACCACCAGCAGGCCCCTCAGCAAGCTGCTGACACAAGAGCTCTGGGAGGGAGGAAGAGAGGAAGAAAGGGTCCAGTAGATCACCACCACCTTTCTGAATTGCAGCAAATGCAAGGATTTGAGTTTTTGGTATTGATAAAATCTTCCTGTTATTATAAGAAGTCTGCAGGCTATTTAACAACAACGCCTAGACAAATCTATTTACAGCACTACAAATCATAGCAAGAAGAAAAAAAGCAAAATAACCATCTAAAATACTTAGTCAAACCAAAGATGTGGTCCCTAAAGTAATTTCAGAACAAGATGTTAAATACACTGCACGCTGCAATCTTTTGCTACAGTATGGAATAAAGAAAAAAACTCAATCTAGAAATAAATTACTTACTTTAAGAAAATGTTCATTATTATTTTGAATGTAGAAATCAAAATTGAGATTTTATTTTTTTTGATTACTGCACCAATGAATTAAAAACGGGAACTCTGAAGTGTCACTGCAGTTACCTACAATAACACGTAAAACACTTAAGAGTATATGTTAAACTTTGTGTTGTGCGGCACTTAAATAATAAAATTTCATAAAAATACAGAGTTAAAGAGCTGTCTCAACAAAAGTTCTCATTACAGCATGGGTATACGTTCACGTTCTTACCAATAAAACTGATTTGCCAAATCCTTAGCAGAGTCACAATACTTTACGTATTTCCACCGGCATTAGCACCAAACCTTAACCCTACATTTTACCTGGGATATGGGGTTATTTATGCAACTGCTGCTCTGAAGCCTCCTGCTCCTGGAAGGCAGCACAAGGCTGTTCAAGGCAGCTCGGCAGCAGGACACAGAGCCCACGATGCCGGCAGCGTGCGGGTACCTCTGGGCTGTACTGCAGGGCCGCACACAGGCAGCCTGCAATCCCTGCACGTAACCCAGCAGGTATCCCAGGTTCTCCTTTCTTCTCCCCCATGGTAAGCAAATCCTATAAGCCATTTTACCTCTGAAAGCAGTATCCAACAGCCACAGGTGCTTCCCGGCTGCCACAGTAGCTGACCAGCAAGAGGGTGGCCCCACCGCCTCTACCTGCAACAGGGAACTCTCCTGCCTACAAACGGTCACGTTGCCAACAAAACGGGTTATCAGGTTTTATGAAATGAGCATTTCCATCAAAGACAACAAAACACACTGCTAATATGAACGTGAAGCTATCTTTCGTTGCACTGATGCATCAGGAGAAGGCTTTTAGCTAATGCTGGCTATAAAAATTCAGCGAGGCAGGCAAGAGAAGAACTCTGCTCCCAAGCCCTGCAGCATCTGTTCCCTTTAGAGCCACAATATCTTCATGACCCACACACACCTATGAAAAGGAGAAATGACTGTTTCCTATCATCCCGGGTTCGTCATTAAAAGGCAGAACTCATTTTATTAGTTATTTTGCATAAAAAACCTCGTAACTTCTGTAATAGCTTTAAGAGGTAGCAAATACACACTTAAATTTAGTCCATCTCTAAGTAGCAAGAGTCCACCAATAAATTTGCCTTAGTGAAATCCATCACACGAACTAAAAATGAAAATGTGTGTGTGCAGCCTAGCAGGGAACCTCAGAAAGCCTACAAAAAGCCAAAGAGTGAACTGCAGGCACGGAGGAATCACGGCTGGTCTCTGCAGCTGCCCCGGCACCCTGGGTGAGATCAGCCCCAGCAGGCTGCTCTCCCGAATTCACAGCTCTCATAGGCAAACTCTGAACAAGGAAAAATGTGGCTTCTATTTGGCTGTCTGTATCTTCGAACACTACTCCAGTGTTCTCTCTCTCTTAACTTTAAGCCGTAAGCAAAAAGTTGGTTACATGGAACCAAGGGCCTCAATCAGCGGAGAACAAGCCTGTGAGAAGTGCTCTGCAATGGGGTCGCTGGCTGCTGCAGCCTGGGGAAGGGTTTTAGGACTTGACAACAGGCTGGGGGAATCTCAGAGTCTCTGCTGGTAGCACAATGGTTGAGAAAATGTGACCAAAAGCTGCTTAAAGAAATACAGCTTGTGTCTGAACCCCACTGGCTTCGTACCAGGGTCCCCAAGGCACGTTTCTACTGCATGCACCTTAGATGCCTTTCACAAGGGGTCTGCCGCTACCAACTCCATCCATATATCTGGAAACCTCCTTTTCAATTCCCAGCCTGTGAAATGATACCAAACAATACTGGAACTAAGGTAGAGTTTACTGTCTGCACACTGTAGTTAAGGTTTTGTAAACTCTTCGCCTCTTCCCTAGGGAGAAAAAAAAAAAAGTCACTTTGGAGTTATACTACAAAGCAAACACCAAGTCCTTGCCTCAAAATCCTGCTTTAAAAAAAAGTGTTTTAAAATGCCTTATGTTAGACGCTTATAGTGCTTCTTCAGTTTGTTTTTAGATTATCCATCTCCCTCCATAAATTGATCTTATTTGTTCAGAAGTCTAAAACTCAAATAGCATGATTAAGAAAATGTTACAGAGCATCATTATAATTTAAGAAAATGTTACAGAGCATCATTATAATTTAATACGAATAGGAATATACAGCAATCAACGTCATGTGAATTTTTAGCATTAAAAAAAGTAAAAATTATAGTTAAAAGAAGCTGTTGAGTAGCAAAAGTGTTTTGACAAATACCACAAGGCACAAACAGGAAAAAAAAAAAAAGTAATTTCACACGAAGAATTAGGTCTTTTAATATTATAATTAGATAATTATACTGAAAGATAATTATGATAAAGTCACTCGATTAACGTACAGGATTAAAGATACACTTAAAATAGCGTAATACTTAGCTCCTCCACACACAAAGCCCAGCAAAACGCTTCCAGACCCTGCCTGCAGCCCGTGCGTCTCCTTTGCACAAAAGCTCCTCCGCTGGGCTCATGCTGCATTTCGGAGCCACTTTCAGGGGCTCCTTCACTCCTATCCCATCACTCACAAAGCTGAGATCAAAACTGCATCTGAAAACCAAACCCAATTTGCTCCCCC